AAGCACATGAATTCTGATCTGAGTGTCACATTAAGGTCACATGGCCACGAATCGTATACGTATCCGATCTAGGACCACATATGAAAGTGGCTCAGGTCGGATTTGAAAACATCAGATTTGTGTCCACACAGCTCTGAAAACATCAGATCTGAGTCACATTAGGGCAAAAAATCGGATTTGTGCCACTTCAGCCTGGTAATGTGAACGCAGCCTTACTGTTATCTATATAAACAGCAGACAATAGTATGGAAAGTAAAGGCTTCAGAATGGCTGCACCTGCTATTTTGCTATTTTACCTACACAAAGTACTTTTGTCCATGTTTTCAGATGAGAGTATGTAATACATTGTCAGAAACCACACAATCAAGTCTGTTCGAGATGTTTTAACAACTGGTTGTGGTTTGAAGCCAAAACATAATCATTTATGCATGCAGTCTGGAAACTGGTAACTGGCGTTTGCTGCATTCTTGCTAAAGTAAGGAAGCACATTTCAGACGTCAAACACGTCTTGGCTGACAGACCACATCTAGGGTTAAAGAAAAACTGTGTAAATAAGATTTTTTTTTAACGTATGACCCCAAAGGTGCGCTTGACATTACGGAAGGCAGTGTTGTGTGGAAGCCAACGGAGGAGCATTCAAATCGAATCATGCGTCAGGGACCTGGAGAGCGCACAGAAGCTCACCAGAGCAACAGGAAACAGCTGACTCTCCTCCAAGTGGATGTTCGGTATTAGCGAGGAGAGGATAGGGGCTTATGGTCACGGCCTGCCGAGGGCTGCACAGCTTCATCTAGCTGGCAGCGACAACCACGACTGAAGATGTTAAACAAAGTCGTCCTTCGTTTTAAACACGTGCTAATATAATGACTTATCATGAGAAAGAGATGCTGGGTTTGACGTGTTACTTAGCAGCCAGTTTTTTTGGCTGTGCCTCTAATGGCTTTTCTTGAGTCAACTCGGCATCGGGTGTCTTCGCTTTCTTTAACCTTGATGCACGCTGCACCACAAAGGCCCCTGAGACTTTGATCTGCCCCACTGGCATCAAGACATGCCAGGCTGCTTTGTCTCCTGTAATCTAGGTGGGGTGAAATGTTTTTCAAAAGCGTCTCATTGTTCAGTCTCTCGCTGAGGTGTTGAGAGCTGGAGAGGTAGTCCCCGTTCCACAGAAGCGATAAAGCTCTGAAAAGGTCTCAGTCTCTGCCGGTTCCCCAGGGGACAGTGGCCGCTCCCTTCCGCCACTGAGATGATCTCTATCACTGCAGACTGACTGAGACCACAGTGGCCAGGCTCCAGCTAGGCAGCACAGCCAAGCGGCAAGCTCACACAGTAGACAACAGTGCTACAAGTAACAATCATCACTTAGGATTGTGATAATTATGACAGATGATAATCAATCAATCTATTAATTATTATTCAAAATATTACTATAACTGAACCACTATGCCCTCTGCAATTTCCTTATTTTGCCCTCATCACTGCGCTGCCAAAATAAATTTCAGTCTACGCAACAAGCAATTTCTTTTTACAGTTTGATGGAAAAATAGAGGTCCAGTAGTTCCTGAGACTGACTTTCTTTGGGCCATTAAGGCCATCAGCAAGAAAATCACAGAGCATATTTAACATAAAATTGCCCAGAAGCCTTAGTAACTGAACATATATCAATTGTTTTTCAGTATACAGTGTGTCCGCCCTTTGCCTTTATAGGCCCTTTTCACATTTCTCCATTTTCACCCTGCCCTTGCAGCGAAACGCTGCTTCTGCTAGAGCAATTACAATAGCAACATTGATGAGTAGAGCGTGTACAGATGACTCAAGTGTTCGAGCCTGAAGCAAAAACAGCCTCATCTCAGTTTCAGTGGTTTGTCAGCTGATGATGAGCAGAGGAAAACAAGTCTGTGCAGTTAATAAAGGAATAAACTTGTGTTATGTAGAGTAAAAGAACCTCTGAGTCAGCATTTCACCACAACTGACTAACAAGTTAACGTTACACTGAGCAGTTGGTGCTTTAAAGTTGCTGCTTCAGCCGCTTTCAGAGGAAGAGTTTTCATTTTCTCCCTCAAAAATGGTCAGAAACTGAGAGAGCGAGTGCTCAGCGGAGAGTAGATGTTCGTTCACTGGTGCCGGTGGTTCCACCTTAAATGGTGCCTGAATGCAACGGCTACACCATTTAAGGTGGAACGGAAAAACCTGAACAAGAAGCTTCTTCAGCCTCGTGACTTTTTAGTGTTTCACAGTTTCTCGTTGCAGATTAAACGTATCAGGAAACCAGCTGGAGTGATTATAAATGCAAATGAGCCTGACAAGCCGGCGCACCCCCCCCCCATGCTTTTTGCTACTAGTTTATTGTTAGGGAGCTGTTTCAACATCTCCAGCTAACATGGCTTATCCATTGATTTATCACTCTGTTGATGTTAGTTGACATTACTGTGCTCTGATAGCTGTAAAGGAATTCTTCCACGAATCATTTATATCCTTTATTTAGTCTGGACTCCCACATCGTTGTGTGTTTGGCTCTCCAACAGTTCTGGACACATCCTCGGATTTCAATCTTGGCAACTGTGACAAAGATAAAGTGACTCACCTTTCTGTGGTGCTGAACTGATACAAGCGCCTGTATTTCTGAGGTTAGAAACTGTCTGTAAGGCAATAGCGGAGCTTGTTTTACTCAGTGTTTACACACTTCAGTTTCTTGTGAAAAGGACCTAGTGCAGTAAATCCACAGGAGCATTTTTTTTCAAACCTCCAAATTTCAGTCTTAGAAGTTTGTTGTACTTTCTGCTTATCCAGTAATCCCAAACCACTCCACTGTTCTGGGAACACCAGCAGCTTCTTTGTTTAATAAGTTTGTCTTAATCTTCTCAGCAGTGAGCTTGGGGTCATTATCTTGAGTGGAGTGAGTTTCCCCCCAAATATTTTTCTAAGGGGACTGCAGGATGTACTCAAATCTGTTTGTATTTATCAACATTCATGACCAAAATTCAAACTCCAGATGTTGTTATTGATCCCTAAGCTTGCACCGATGCACTCTGCCATGCTGGCGATGACAGATGGTTGTAGAAATGGTTCGAAGAGTCTTTTTTGATTGTTTTGTCTTTATACATACTGCCATCTGTCTCAAAGATCTCAAATCTCGTTTGGTCCGTATTCCACATCACAGACATCCAATCGCGGTGCTTTAATGGAGTTTTTCAGTAACAGCTTCTTGACAGCTACATATCCTCTCAAACGCACTGAGGTGTCTTTTCATACTGGAAAGACAGATAGAAAGACCTCTGGATGTTTTAGTGTCTGTAGTAAGGTGTATCTTATATCTGCTCCCCTCAGAAATATCTCCTTTAGTCATTATAGATGCACATGAGAAAGACATTCGCAAGGCATCTAAGGTGAGTTTGGGTAGTCGCTTGTGTGAAGCTGAGTGTCTCTTTCAAGGGTAACAATGTCAGTGACCACTTTGGGAACAGCTTTACAACCTGGTACTCATTTCAAGATTGGAGATTTGTAAGGAAGGAGGAGTTAAAGTGTCAGTAGAGGGTACACAGAAGTGAAGAGTTGACCAAATAAATACTGACAGAATTGATATTATTCTTGGTGTTAGAGGCGTGTGTGTAATTTTCTGTTAATAATGTGCTTCCAACTTTTTCCTGATGCTGAAAAACGAAAAACATTGTACTTAATGGCCGTTTTGACTGGAAATTACACAAACAAAAGGGTGGTCTCTGGCTTGCACAGTACTTTATATGACTCAATCAACTGTTTCTATAAACAACACTGTCTAATCCACCTTACAGAATCATTGCAGCCCTGGAACACATACAAAGAGCATGTGAACAACGTCAGGTGAACACTGCGGAAATGTTTGAACAACGTCAGGGAAAAGCAGATTATTGTCAGTCTTGATTCTAGCTGCTCTCGTGCTCTCCCAGATGGTCAGAGAGGCCAGATTACAGCCGAATCATGACAAAAGATCAGTCAGACAATCATCCTTCCTTGGATTAAGTTATTAGGCTGCCTCTAAAGCGTAAGCCGTGGTAACATGCTAAGACTGACAAGCCATGCAGTGGAAAAGGGATTAGATGTGCCCCAGAGATTACCAAGAGTTCTTTACCAAATCCAAGCCTTTGTCTTGACACTTGGACCACGCAACTGTCCACAAAACAATGACCGCTTCCAAAAAACACAATAACTGACTGCTTGCCTTTTAGGCCCAATCCCATTTTACTCCTCCCCCCTACCACTGGGCCTTTAGCCCTCTGTTTTAGGTGTTCAAGTCTAGGAGTAGGGTGCCCCGATTTTTGTTGAGATAGAGGGGTGGGGCGAAGTGTCAGGGCTACAGTGATGTTGCTGAACTTTACCCTCCTCTGCTGTCACTGCAGACTGGCAGCGTCACCTACAGAGCAGCGCTGGTAGCTGTTAATGAAGCAATGTGCTTTTTTATTTGAGGTCCCATTTCAGAGGGAAGATTTCAGCCACTACCAGGGGTAGGGGTAAAAAAAAGAAATGGGATTGGGCCTTAGACTAACAATCCATTTTCCACTGCATCATTTCTAATTGAGGGAAAAGATCTATGCCAGTGAATGACCAATTGATTCATCAGTGGCCAAATGATTCTCTAACCAGACACAATAACTTCTTCCAAAGCATGATGCATGTATTCCTGGCCTAAAACTGGAGCTTGCTGGCTTCTGTAGTTCTGATCTGACTAGGTGTGCCAAGACAGCCAGTGGCCAGAGTTGGCATTCAGCGCTCTTATCAATGAGCCTTTCACAAGCGCAGCCCGGGGCTCAGGCGCGGCTGGCAGCAGCAAAGCCCCAAGACATAGAAGCCTTCAGAGTGAGAGAGAGAGACATGAGAGCCTTCAGAGAGAGAGAGAGAGACTTAGCTGTTGGGTTTACTGAGATATCATGCCTTTATATGCCTGTCATTGTCGGTGCATAGATGGTTGGTGGGTGATGGTGCAAGAAAGCAACTTTAAGTAAAATGTAAACACAGCAAGTCCTTACCTTGCTTTCACATTTCTTATGAGTGGCTGTTTTGCAGACTGCAAATGACAGAGAGAACAGAATGTACAGATTTAGTGAGATTACAGCAGGAGAATGCTAGTCAAAGTTCTTTAACAGGTTCCTGAATCAATCTTTCCAAGCCATGCTTTCAGTAACAACTACATTCTAAGAATTTAAGAGCAGCCAGAACTACATGCCTTTAAATCTGCCTTAATATGGCTCAAGAATCAATGAAGTTGTCTTAGTGTGCTAAAAAACGAAGGCAATGACTTACCTCGGCAGAAGGAGCCCAGGCTCTCTATACTCTGCTTACACACCCCACACTGACGCTTCTTCTTAAAGGTCTTCTCTTTAAAGACATGGGGCTCTCCCTTCGTTGCCTGCACAAAACAAAAACCCATTAGAGACCCAAGGAAGTGTATCCCGTTTTCTCCGACTGCATCCGTTACTACGTGTACCTCTGCGATCTTGAACAGAACCTGTTAGAGCTTCCCTTCACGTTGAGTGTCTCATCTTTCAAAGTCAAGCATGAGGACAAAACCTTCGCGTAACAGAGTTAATCTCACTGTGACACACCTCGTCTTAAGACAGGCAACTGGAGAACACAGAGATCACATGTAGCAACTGGTCCACTCCAGTGATCCCTGAAGTCCTGGCCAGTGTTCATGCTGATCGTTTCACACATAATCTGCCTATCAAACGTTTGGGGACTCCTTTCCTTCTGTTGAATGCAACGTTTATCACACTATGAAGGAAAAGGAACTTTCCAAACTTTTGTTAGAAGCACTTACGGAAAATCTTTTGAAAATGAACAAAGTGAGTGATGCTGATATCACAACAGATATAAAAATGCACAGGGTGTGTCATGATTCCCACGCTAATACCATTACAGACATGGTTACAAGTACTTACATGTGATATTGTCTTCCTCAAAATAAACCAGGTTAGTATTTAATATGCTACACTTTATTGCAAAATGACAAAGAAAACTACTTTTTTCCCTAATACTAATATGTAAATCATGAGCATAACCCTTGTGTGGTGTTCAGGTCTGTGGGAGCCATTTTCAATGTTTACCAAAAGAAAAAATGATGTGATTTATTATTATTTCAACCTCAGATTCTTGTCCTTTGCTCATTTTCTGTGAAGAACATATAAAATAACCCATTTTCAGTGTCTTCACTCTGTTCACCCCCCACACATTTATATTACACATGTGGTGTTGGGTGAACCTGCGGGGAGTAAAAGTGTGGAGGTGCTGTGTCCTTCACTCTGTTCTCCTCCTACATGGCCTGCTGTAAGTGTGTGTGCCTGTGTGTATGTGTTTGTATATGTGTCTGTGTTTCTGTGTGTGTGTGAAGGTGGACAACATGGCCAGGCTGCTGACTGGCTACAGCTGCTAAAGGAGAACCCTACACTGGACATGTGCTATTTTAAACATCTGGTATTTTTACACAAATTGTTATGGCTGTATTGATTTAAAAACACTGAGTAACAAACCCATCAACACCACACAAGGGTTAAAGGTATACTATGTAATCTTTGGATCGGTTGTGCTTCAGACCCCTTCCCCAAGCGGATGAATCTGATGTCTGTGTGTGCACTGAGAGAGTATTCCAAGAGAACTCTTGGAAGGACGTGTCTTCCAAGGATATAAGTGAATTATCCACTGTTGTCACCATATCTTCATCATATAATTTGGGTTGCATTTATGAATTTTCATGTCTGACTCGAACTTCTTTACAGCCAAACTGCTGGCCGATCTGACTGAACACATTGCGATTACAGATTCAGACTGAGGTGTTTATTCTCACTCTACTCAACAATCTGATGAAAATCTCTGTTTACATGCTCACTACAGTAATCTGATCCAAAATGACACGCATGGGTAGAGAACCGCTGAGTGTAGACGTTACCATGACAACCAGCATCACGTGAGTCCAGTCAGAGTGAGATGAGCAGCAGTGAGCAGCGCTTGTGTTTTTAATGGCTTTAAAATGATGTCAGACTCAGGAAAACGTCCTTCACATGTCCTTATTAAAGAAGGCCGAGAGGAAGACGTCGTGTTCTGAGACACATAAGCTGGACGTCCGTCCCACCGCCGTCTTTTAAAGACCAGAGCAGAAACTTCGTCTCCTCTGCAGACCAGTTTCTGCTCCGCCATGTTGAACGGTATAAACTCTCACTATGACGCGACGAACATGATCAGAACGGACTTTCCGATAGGGAATGTAATCAGATACAGGCGTTTACACGGATATTATTCTTCTATTTAACGGATTATTTATAGGATTACCCACCTCGATCAGTCGGCTAGAAACTGTATTCCAAATGGCCTCAATCGGACTAGACTATTCCGACTGAGGTGTCTACATGGACGTATTCTATTCTGATTGAGCTATTAGGCGGATTATTAACAGATTATCAGGCTGCATGTAAACTTGGCTACTGTATGGGGTAAGTTAAACACATTTCCAGTACCTTTTATCAGCCAAACTTGCAGTACAAAGATTCTGTGCCCCTTAATGAGGCATTTAAAAAAACCCATTTTAAATGAGATGCCAATTAAAATATTTATTATATTTAACATAAAGTTAAATAAAACGCTGCACTGAAAAGAAGAGGTAACTGGTTGTTTAGCACAAGGAGTCATGCAAAATCATGCTCTGACATCTTGGTATAGGTGTAGCAGCAGCGTTCAGATACAGTATGAATGCACCCAATTGGCTGGCTGTCGAGTAGCATTTTCCATTTGAGACCAAACATCAAGCCGGACCTCCTTTTTCAGTTCATGCATGTGACATTAATGTGTAAAGACGTATGATGTGGTGCAAAAAACTCCAGAGTAATCCAGTCCAACACCTCTTCTGAATTATTATTTCAGGATTTACAGGGTGACGCATATTTTAGCTATTTTTTTCCTCCTCATTTACTAAAACTACTTCAATTTTAATAAAAAATCTCACACAGTGCAGCTTTAAGCTTTTGTAACTGAGGTACTTAATTTATGATGAACATCTACAAGTAGGCTCAAACTTTTAGATGCTCAATCTACTCGAACACACTTAGCCAACAACATAACACCACACAGTGTGACTGAGGGCTAGATTTGTTAAGGATTGGATTTAATTTATTTCCATTTCCCTTCCATATCTAATCCAGCATTTTCATATCAGCCTGATACCGATAGCTGGTATCAGATCAGGGCCGCCTCTAACTGAAAGCATTTTGAAAAGCTGGATGTCCTCAGACAGCTGACAGGCAACGCACTGTTCTTTGGTGAGACAGCGATAAAATCAACACGTACAAAGTGTTCAACCACAGGAACATTTTACCAGCTTTCTCTAAGACTACTGTGTGTTGTGTAGCATATTTGGCGTCTCTATTTGACAGGATAATGCAGCTTTGTGCTGGGCTGTGTGTTTTTCCGTTTGGCAGTGGAGGCTCAGGGAGCTCATTTCCACTCTGCTCTCCCTCCAGCACTGGGCACTGTTTGGACAGCTGGCGTGAGTTGCAGTGCATGCCCACTCGATGCCATACAGCGGCGTATTGTACACACTCTGGCACCATCTCTCTCTCTGACACACACACACACACACACACACACACACACACACACACACATACAGGTACTGTAATACTATCTTTATAGTTTTCCATTGACCAGCCTACTGTGCAAAAGTCACAGACCATTCATGCATTTCATTTCCAGTAAAAACAGCCAAAAGGTACAAGATACTCATTATTTAGTGTTAGGAAAAAAGTAGGAAACACATATTTGACAGAAAATCACAGAAGCCTCAAAAACTAAATAGAATATAAAAGTTTTCAGTATTTAGTGTGGTCACCACCCATTTTTAAAAAGAATTTACTTCTTAAAACCCACTTATGTGGTTTTCATGAAGATTCTGATGTTCACTAATCTTTTCTTACGTGGAACCTACAAACACTCAAGAGCACAGAAAAAAAGATTTTTTGCTCAAATCAGATTTTTTGCTCAAATCCGATCTCTCTGACACGATGGTTCACACTCGTTTAGGTAAGTGACTCAAATCTGTCATTAATGTGACGAACCGGCGTCCTGAAATGACCCTCATGAGCTCATCCTACTCAGTAACGTCACGTGAATGAATCACGATCATCATCAGCACAAACTAACGAGCAGAACGAGCTTCGCTGAGAAGATAATTAACTCTGATCAGCTCTCAGCTTCATTATTAGAGCGAGACGAAGGAGAAAAAGGTGAGATGAGCTGCTTTTCCACCGTTTACAGGCTTTAACTTCTGTTCGGCGCTGCTGCCATGGTAACGCTGAATGATGGAGCACGCGCAGTGGAAAACAAGCACATGAATTCTGATCTGAGCGTCACATTGAGGTCACGTGGCCACGAAATCGGATACGTATCTGATCTAGGACCACATATGAAAGTGGCTCAGGTCGGATTTGAAAAGATCAGATTTGTGCCCACACAGCCCTGAAAACATCAGATCTGAGTCACATTAGGGCAGAAAATCAGATTTGTGCCACTTCAGCCTGGTAATGTGAACGTAACCTTTTTTAGGACCTTCTCTAAAACAAATTTAAGAACTTAGGAAGATATTAGAGATTGAGGCCGAAAGTCTTTTGTACAAATTACATTCTTTTTGGGCTGCATTTTCTGCTTCTCATGATCAAAATAATCCCAAACACATTCAGTGGTGCTGAGGTCTGGACTCTGGGGTGGTCAGTCCATTGTTCAGCTTCTTTGTTTGATGTGTCCATCTCCTTTTCTCAGTGAGGTTCTTCTTGACAGCTACACATCCTTTCAGACCCATAGCGCTGAGTCGTCTTCTCACAGTGGAAGGACGGACAGAAACACCTGTGGATGTTTTCAGATCTGAAGCAGCTTGATTTTCTCCTCTCTCTCAGAGATGAAAGCTTTAAGTGCTGTTTATCTGATGGGGGCAGTTTTGGTGGGCTACCAAGTCTTGCACGGTTATTATGTGGTTAGTCTTATTGTCTCAATATCTTTTATATCTTCTTGTCCAAAAACCGATATAGGTGCTAAAAATTTGCGTAACTATCAACAAGGTACTAATAAAGTCCAATAATATGGCCAATTTAATTTTATATTTATATTCAATTCAGTTTAATTTTATTGTCATTATACACAAACACACATACACAGTGGCACAGTAAACGAAACACATTTGGGTTATTTCTCAGGAGCATAAACATTAAGACAAAGTCATGAGTTCACTGCAAGCTGGACGACAGACATAATCTATATTATACATTGGAATTTTATGTTCCAGCAGTTTCCGTTAAACAGTGTTTTACTGACAAATATGATTGATAGTTCTCAAACTCCAACAGCAGAAACTCGCAGTCTTAAATTATA